GTGTGTGTGTGTGTGTGAGTGCATGTGTAATTTGCAGTAAAATGCATTTAAAAAGCATTACAGATTTATAGGATTTATTTCAGGTTTATTTTTGTTGCCCTGGCTTGGAAGGACCAACCATCATGTCAGCAATCAACAGCACTGACTTACTGTATCTTTGTGCCTGGGCTGCATCTTACTGTGCATTCTGCAGGCAGTTCATGTTGTTGGCTGAGACCAGTTTTAACATGGCACAATCACTGCCAAGCAGCGAGAGGAGAGAGCCTAGAGGGTGAGTGCAAGCCATCTGCTGCCCCAACAGATAACTCAACCATCTCCTCAATGGATACACATACATGGGTGTACGCATGCACAGTATGTTTTTTTATTTTAATGCAACTGAAATCTCTGACAGCATTAATACTGTGTTTCATATTGTTTATGACTCATTGGTGTAAGATATTTTTAAAATCATTTTATAAGGTAAACTGGCTAATATGTGCATAGGCGTTACATGCCAGAGGACAGACAGATGCATCAGCATACACCTGGGACTCCAAACTACTGCCCCAGACTTGGATTGTTACCACAAAACACTAAAAACACAAAAACCATGTTCAAAGACGGGACTTTATTCTAAGCCTGGATTGAAAAATGCTCACTCTGAGGCCAAGCCAGTCAGTGCCAGGTTGTGTTCAGCCAAAGTAAAGGCGGATTTTTAAGTGATTTTTTTTAGCCCAAGTGGCGTTATTAAACACAAAATGCCTGAGACATTATTTAGATATTTTAATGTTATTCCAGAGAAACATTGCTTAAGAATACTGTGTTCTCTTTTGGCAAAAATAATTTTCTGGAAAAAAATTTGCATTGAACTGAACCGTCTACTTTTATACAAATTCAGGCATAAAACATTCAATTTTACAGTGTTTTTAAATTGCCTTAGCTGCAGCACAAGATTCTGACATGCATGAAAATGTTTTGTTTCACAGTTTTCATTTAACAGCACATGATTTCCTAAGCAGGTAGGAGCAACTGAAAGCCGGAGATATGGTCCGTTAAACAAAGGTGTAGTGTGACGTTGATTATTTACTGACTAACATTCCAGGATAGTGTGCAGCTACGTTACACCTCAAGCAAAGACCTGTGGTGGTTGTGATCTGGATATATACAGTACATAAATCACAATGCCAAAAAATCTGACTTGTCTTGTTTTGATTCTAATTTAGAAATGTCTTTCACTTGTCAAAAATGAGTAAATTTATACATTATAAATCTGATTTTGAGGCATTTGTCTACTAGCTGGTGTGTTGTACACATTGTTTCGCTACACTGAATTTTTAAATAAGTTGTCTGCATGATCATTTAGATTCACATTCTGTTATCTGCACGTTATTATCTACAGTTACACACAATGGTGGAAAGTAACTACAGTTACTAAACTACTGTACTTAAGTATAATTTTAAGGTACCCATACTTTCCTTGAGTATTTTCATTTTTTACTACTTCATACTTCCACTTCACTACATTTCAGAGGCAAATATTGTACAGTACTTTACACTCAACTACTTTTTTTTTTTAAATAAAACTTTAGTCACTAGTTATTTTTCCAAACCACATTAATACAACAACTAGAGTATAATCATCAGGCTTTATTGCCTCCAAATTTCTGTTTTCTAGTTTAAAGAGAATTGCTGAAATGAGCTGGAATAACTAAATTAAGGCTAAAATCTAGTCTAGTATTCCCACTTTCACTCTATATGAGCTGGATTCTACTTGAATACTTGGTGCTGCTGCTCCTTTTAGCTCTTCTGAGGATTTTTAGTTCTTCTTATTCTTCTGGCTTGTCGGTGGGATGCACTGTAATTCTGTGTTGTCTTAAATGCGCTAGTAGTATGAAAACAAGGCAATCACCTGCAGAGCAGAGCTCTTTTTAAAGAGCATAGTTACTTTGGCAGACCTGTTCCGCTGTGTGCAGCCAGCCAGATAAACTAACAACACGTCCTCAGGCACCTCATGAGACAGCCGCTGACCTGGCTAATATGGGTGGCTGCTCTCTGCACACACACATAAATGCATACATGCACACACACACGGTGTACAATATATATATGTGACTCCAATGTATGATTTAATAATCTAGTGCCTCTTTCATCTCCCTTACCCTTTGTACCACAAACATTAATGCGTTCTCCTCACTGCCTTTGTTCTTTGTTTGCTGCATTCCTATTTTAGTCTTTAGTTAGTTTGCCTGCTCAAGCATAAACTCTATCCCTGGCTCGAAAGCCTCAAGACACTGTCACTGGAATAAGAAAAGATGTTCTATGTAAACAGTATTAAAATGTCCTACTTGCCTGTTGAGTGTAACAGTTCCCTGAGAGGTTCACCTAGCTTTGAAGGAAAATACCCACTGAGTCACATGTTTTTCTCATGTTATTGTTTGTCAGTTGGACTGACCTGTAAAATATGGGCAGGCTTTTGCTTTCGAAAGTCTGCATTTTCCATCATCACTCCACTGTGTGATACCAAAATCGCGAAAGAAACAAATATTTTTTTCAAAAATATAAAGAACACAGGCTGACTAAATATGCTCTAACATGCAGACACAACTGAGATAAGTCCTCAGAGTAAAAAGCGATATCTGAGATGTACAGACCAAAATAACAAGACCACGGGAAAACTGACCAGACTTAAACAAACTAAAACAACCTATTGCCGACACCATCACGCAGCTTACATCTCATCTCCTCCTACATGCAGAAAACAAAGTAACCATACTAAATGCAAAGCCAACCATTTTAAGACCCTAGTGCACCTACAGTGAGCGAGTCCATCACATTCATTATTAATGGCCATGCTGTCATTCAGCAGCCACAGACGGTATAAAGTATCAATTTACCTTACTATGGAGAAGGCGCTGCCAGCTCACGCTTCGCTGACAGTAAAATCAGAATGTTCACTGATGATCAGAGATGTGGCTCAATTCTGTCTGTTGAAGAAAACAGTTTGCAGCAGTTTTAGTGTCATCACTTGTTTTGCACACTCCTTCCTCCACCAACTGTGGTTTCTTGAAATGTCTTGCTATGAATATGTGCTTTGATTTGTTAACTGTCTAACTCAGCAGGTGCCACAGTTTTCATATCACCACAAAATCTGATTATTTTCAATCCTTAAAAGCAGCTAGCGCACAGTGCACATGAACATGCTGGATGTCAAAGGTCAACCCTGTCAACACTGATAATCCTGACTTTTATTTGGCCATAATATAGTATTGGCACCTCTCGAAAAGAAATCACATTCACAACCTAGGACTACCCCTGCTGCGGATACTAATCTTCTCAATGCACAAGGTACGATGCATCTGGGAAGATCGAAGTCAAACTGAATCACATTCACACTGGGGAAACTAGTCTCATAACACGTTGATTTAGCTAGTCAGCATTACCTCAGATTTTATGACTAACCATTTATGTATTGTCCTCTTTCTTTTAATTTCAGTTACTCCGTCGGGTATAATTAACCGCGAGTCTGAAATACAGTTTAATTCATCTGAACTGAACCGAATCAAACAGGAAACATATTATAGTAACTTTATTTATTTATATACACTCAGTTTATTAGGTGCATTCATCAGTTATACCTTTATATCTGTGAAGCTAGGCTAAATAACAGAAACACCTCTGTATAATGTGGTGCAGTTTGATGCCAGTACAAACAACAATATCCAAAAATGATCATACAGTTGAATGAAAACCTCTCTTCATGGAGGGAGGATTCATTGCAGGACTGTTGTTTTAAGACCTTACAGTAGCTTTAGCTAGGTGACCATGTGCATCATAAACTGTCAACTGAGTGGATATTTTCAAAAGTAATACTGCATTTACATTTGTACACATAACATAAAGTGTAGGACACTGGATCTTATAGTACACGAGTTTCAGAGTCACTGAGATTGCAAAAAGTATGTGAGAGCTAAAATGAAAACATGGTGTTTTCAGAGTTTGCCCTCAAAGCCTGGGGCACTGATGGGACTGGGGGTTGCGCATGCGTGTGCGCACACACACACACACACGAGAGATAATAGATATCTGGGGATGTGAGAAATGCTTCTCTAACTGAAAAGCTGGTTTCTCAATTGGTGATTACAGATTTTCACATCCCTGGGGTCTCATTATACTCATGGTGCACAGAAGTCCCTGATCAATTGATTAATTGCTTCTTTTACTTCTTCCATGGTCAGTTTTTGCTTGAGCTGTTTTAGAGCTGTTGAATCATTCAGTTGTATGGTCATTGTTGGTGGGGGGGATGCTACAAAAATGAACATTATAACCTTTAAGAACATATACTTTATTGCTAGACTGAATTACTTTTATTTAGATGCACTGTGGCTGCAGTGATGTCACATTGTGCTACTTTGAAATACCATTGCACCATCCTGTGATCATGGTTTGTTGCAGTTTTATGCTTTTGCATCTCCATTCTATGAAAAACTAAAATGCAGACGTGAAAGTTGAAGCAAATTATTTAACAGTTTTTCACAGGTTAAACTTTATTTTTCACAGTAAAGGAAAATGAAAATTTGACAATCTCCTGTTAATTTGAAGCAGTATTTTTTCCCCTAAAGTTGTTTAAATGTACAGTGTAATAGAATCAAATGATCATTTGAATAAACTAAACTAGTAGTATTTGATGACAAATGACCTGAAAAAACTTCACTATGATCCTAAATGACAGATCACCTTTGCCCCTCAGCACTGTCTATAATGAAGCCCCAAAGGACCTCCTCTATCTGCTTTAAGCATGATGGGTGTGTATCAGCACTGCACTCGCTCTGTGCGTTTCTTCTTTTTAGCTTGATCACCTTAAGCTTGACCATAAGCAATTATGCAAAAAGGAAACTAATTCCCAAAAGTAAACAGGAGCAGCTTGACATGATGGTGACTGGTAGTTTTAATTACAACAAATATGTCTCTTTTATTTTCCTTTCTTGTGTCCATCACGCACAAAACATTTTATTCATTCATGGGGTCTTTACATTGACGTATATTCTTTTTTCTGGAGAATTATCTTAACCTTATCCATAATCACTACTTCCCTAACACTAATCTTACCCTGACTTTAAGTCAACACCATAAAATCCAGAAATTTGCATATCTACACAGACACACACATAATGTGAGAGGCCTCTTGACTCTATTGGTAACATTACCCTCTGGACACACACGGAGGCAGCTACGAGCCAACTATATATGACCTAACACAGAAACAGGCTGAGCAGATGAGCAGCTTCTTGGCCTTGTGTGACAGTCTGTGTCATTAGACGCACAGCCAAACAACAGCATCCCTTTATTCTCTCATTTATTGCAGACCTGCGGTTCTTTGAGAGAACAGGATAAAGACGACTTAAAACTCCAAGAGGTACCAGCGGTGCCTGGTAGTCATCATCCCTGTGAATATCAGGATCTATTCGTTTTGGGACCGGACAGGATTAAGCTTAAAGTAGTTTTGACTGCGCTCTGAGAGAGTTCGGAGGGTGAGAAATGGAACCCGCCTCGCTAATTGACACAAGGAGTAACAGAGGAAAAAGAAACAGCCAAGAGGTAATTTTTTTAAGTGTACATAAATCTGACCAAATCTTTTTAAGAGGAAAGTTCACTTTAGAAATGGTAATTTTCATCACTATATTTTCACTATTCCACTGTATGAAAGAGACAGAACAAAATATATCTCACTGTCATGTGTCTATAAATGAATGAAATACGACATATTTTTACACTGGACATAAATCATACTGGATATTCTACACTCTCTATGTGTGCAGTGTGAAACAGAACAAAGCAAAAAAACAATGCCACAAAACTGAATAGTGTATCTCTCACTATAATTTGTATTTAGACTAAATGAATTAAATATAACTTGTATATTAGACATGACAAATACAAGTACAGTGTATAGCACATATGGGTATGGAACGCAAAGGTCTCTGCAAGTGACATACTAAAACAGAATATAATATCTCACACTAAAATGTGTATAAATAAATTAAACAATTACATTAGAATTATATACACACTGTACTTACATAAACACACATTGTGTGTGTGGTTCTGGGTTTAACTACAAATGATAGAATACAAGAGAGTGAAATAAAATAGAATAGAGCAGAATAGAACAGGTTTAGCAGTGAAGACATCAAGGGAACAGCTGTGTCTTCTGTGTGTCGCACCGATGGCGCCATCAGGTGGCTGAAACATATCAAGACACCAAACTTTACCTAATAATTCCTGATCTGAGTGCATGTCTGTGAATGTTCAACACTGGCCACACAGAGTCCATCACTCTCCATCTCTTTCAGGCGGCTGATTCTGCCCTTGTGGTTTCTGAATCGGGCCAGTGCAAGGTGTACTCCGACCACATGTTTGGAATCGTTGGCATCGTGTGCACAATTCTTAACCTGCTGGTGGTGGTGTTAGTATACATCTACACGCCTGTCTGACAGGTCGACAAACAGACTGTATATGTGGATTTTTGGTGAAGCTGTTGCAAGGGGTGGTAGGTGTATAAATGGGGCAACCAGAAGGGAGGGACAGAGTGTTCAGTAGTACAGCATTACATAACAATCCTGATACTGAGTCTGATTCAACCAACCTCTGTAACTGTTGTATTGGTAACTGTGATAAGGTTATCCAATAACAAGTCCTTGTTTGTGAAGAAATATCAGACCAACACTGGGGCAAACTGTATGCTTTTTAGGTTTTCCATGAGTAACAAACTTTGAATAACTTTTCAAACTGTGTTGACACAGTATTACTGCATGCTTTATTTACACAGCCAGCTTGGTATGTTTAGCAATTCCCAAAATAATGATTTTGCAATGTAATCTATACAGTCACAGTAGGTATTTGTTTGTTTGTGCCTGTTTGGTATCATTTGTTTTTTTTTATAAATACGTGTATTAATAACAAATAAATGTCAAGTGACAAATTTCTTCAGGATTATCTCCACTTCACATTTATTCAAAGCCACATCTATGAACTATCGAGGCAGCGGCCAACAGCTTGTTTATAAGAATTACAGATACATAGTATGTTCTTATACCACAACCACACATTTAAAGATATTTACAGCTTTTATGCTGCAAAGAAAAGTAGCACCAAATGTACATCCAGTCTTTGTTATTCAATGAAAATATATCCATACTGATCAAAACATAATATTGATATGTTTATTTGAAATAAATAGATCGATTTTTTTCCTCTAAGGTACAGGAACAGTACAAGTTGGATTATTGATGTTAATATCAGGCAGTATTTGATAGCTGGTGATGATGTCAATCTTCTCTGACACAGCCTTCAGGTCATCTAAGATTAATCTTATGCTGTGGGAGGCGTTGATGATGGCGCCCTGCGAAGCATTCAGCTGAGCTGTTGCACTACGTACCTTTCAGAAACACAAGTGTCAATCAACTATTGGTAAATGGTCTTATACTTAAAGAGCACTTTTCTACGCTATGAAGCACACACAAAGCGCTTTACACTATTTCCCACTCACTCATTCACACACACAAATGCCCTCATATTCACGCACCAGTGATTTCACCAGGAGCAACTAGGAGTTCAGTGCCTTGCTCCAGGACACTTCCAACACGTGGATTGGAGAAGCTAGTGATCCAACCATGGACTAGGGGTGTGGTGATATACCGGTGTTGACAATAACCATGATATTTATCAAATGAAATATTGATATCATACTAATAATAATACACATATGATAACATATAAATAATACAGAGCCAGTAACTATCAAGTTGACACTCCAACTAAGCCAGTGGTGGTACTGCACCTTAACACTGGCTACCACCCAACAAAGTAAAACAAGAAGAAGACCCCCAAGCAGTAAGTAGCTAGGTAGCTACTACCCTACCAGACAAACATTATACACAATAAAGTTAAAGATGAATTTGAGCAATAGCATTTTTTGAATTGTTTTTTTCAAATTTTCCGTAGATATCGTGATATTATCCACAATAAAGTTAAAGATGAATTTGAGCGATAGCATTTTTTGAATTGTTTTTTTTTTCAAATTTTCCGTAGATATCATGATATTATTGTAATCATAAATTTTTTTTGGCCATGACAATTATGTAGTGAAAATCTGATATTGTGACAGCCCTACTGTCGACCCTATGGTTAGGGGACAACCCACTCTACCTCCTGAGGCACAGCTGTTCCCATAATGCAAAACTATTGATCTATTATCTGTTCAGGCAATGACCATTTTTAACACATAACTTTCCATCCTTTTCTAATTTATATCATTTTAAACTGCAGTCACTTTAAATGCATCTTTTCATGACTGGCATGTCATTTCTATCCATCTAGTACCATCTAGTAGCCATCCTAAATGCTAAATTTAATACAAGCTTGCAATACAGTTTTTTGTGTACAATGCAACATTAAACTGAGTACTATTCTGGTACAGAGCAATATGTTTGGTGTTCAAATATTCTTTTTCATTTCCACAATACTAGAGAACAAGTGCAGTGGCCTCTGTGTATTACAAAGGGCATTTCTGGAGGCCCTTATTTACATATTTGATAATCAACATACCTCCCTGCTGGCACTACCATAAACATGCCGTAGTGTCTGTCCAATGTCAGAATACAGCCGGCTGTTAGACTCCTGCAGCTTCTGTTGTAAAAGGGTGTCACCTGGAAAAATTATTACATCCTGAAATAACTGAAAACAAAACCAAGCACATCTTCCATCAGTGTACACTTATCCATTTAAATAAATTACTTTTAAATAATAAAAGCCAAAATTGATGGCAGGGAAAGAAAATAAAAGCTGACTCAATGGCCCGAAATGTCATTTCAATTCATAGTTGAATGTGATCATTTATCACTGTAACTAGTACAACCACTCAGTCATATATGATCCGTGAGTACAATTACCCACATTTTTAACTGCTTGGCATATTTTAAAATAACTGTTTTATCCATTAAATTTCATGAGTTGGCATTGCTCATATTAATTCCTACATCCAAATGACCCACTCACTGAGGACCGCAAGATGCAATCAAAAGATAGTAAGATAAACTTTGAACTGAGAGTATTCAGTCACATGAGAGGTACAGGAATTGGAATTATCATTGCTATAATCATGATCAGCATTGCTCACCATGTGGCTTGTGTGTGGGGCTTGGCCTGTCCTCCACTACTGACTGTATATCAGGACGGTCTCCGACTACGATAAGAGGAGGCAGGTCTCTCTTGATTATCTGAACGCTCTCCTGGCGGACTGCAGAGGCTGGGTGCGCCTGGTCCTCCTCACTGTCTGTTTCTGATGCCTCCCCTGGAACCTGAGAGCATCCAAGATCACAAACAAAACGGTTTGCATATACATGGAAGTAGAGGCGGAGACATGTTTTTGGTGTTTATGAACACAAAATTTTTCTTTCTATATCGAACAACCTTGGCTCCAACTGAGGCAGTAAATGGAGCAGACAGGGAGGTGATGTGGACTTCATCATCAGAGTCTGTCTCAGATGCCTCACCCTGCACCACTGTCTGGCACCTGCTGGACATATCTGCACAGACAGAAAAACACACCAAGTAGCTACCTTCGTAAGCTAATGTAGAGCTCAAAGTGTAACTAGCTAAATAACAGTTTTAACAGCACTACCACATGCGACATAAAGTGACTTGCCTTAGCTTGGCGAAAAACTATTGTGTAATGTTAGATAAAAACTCAATATTAAAACATACGGTCATTTAATGCGCTTAAATATCTCCAAAATGTGCCAAACCCTCTGACATCAAATCACATGAGCGGTCAGGAAGTGTTTTGTTTTCCAAGACCCAATCACATCAGTGCTATACTGTCACGAGACAAGTGACATTTCATACCGTGATTGGAAGGCACGCAAAAAGTTTGTTATAAAATGTAACATCATTTTGTAATTGGTTTTACTGTACCGGGTATTTTGTGGCCTCTATGTGAATGTTTTATTGTCGGAAGTATGAATTACTCGCATACTCTTGCGCCTTATGGGACATGTAGTCCGCTGCCACCAAATGTTTTTTCACGCGATACAGAAGCCTCCTGCTAACTCCGCCTACGTGAGTCTCGAGGATTAGGCTGGCAGGAACTAACGCTGTTTACTTTGTGTATCCTACAGTCATTTGACAGGTACAGTAGATTTAACTGTTCACTCGCTTACGTTTTTAAAAGATAAACATAAAGCTATGTCATATATAGTGATTCTGCTTCATTCTCTGTCATTGGCATACACCGGAAGACTATTTATTACGACCCAGATAATATTGTTAGCAATATTGTCCGGGTAATACAGTACTAGCTAGAGAACGCGAGCTGTCTAGCCTAGCTCATGCTAAGTAGCAGCAAAGGATATTGACGTCTACTGATGGGCTTTGTCTTTTAGTGCAGCAGAATAGATTAAGCAAATCTGTTTTACTTTAACGTTATACTGGGCTACATAAAACCTTTGTACATTGTGTCACATGTTTACAAGGAGCATCAATCCAGTAAAGGAGAGATGGACAACAAGGTGTGTTCAACAATGGCATGAAGCAGTCAGTTGACAGTAATATATAGTAAAGCGTTGAGTTAGACTGTGGTCTGGAATAACTTTGCACAATGCCGCCACTATTTGTTGATATTCATGTAAGGTAATCCGTGTATCTTTGTAGCTACCAGTACCCGGTAATCATTCTGATCATGTATTTCATTGTGTATTCCAAGCTTTTGCCCAGTGACCAAATAAACTACATGTGTGTCTTCTCTTCAGGACAGAGCTGTCAGTGTTTCTGTCCTGGAAGGCATGGGCTTCAGGGTGGGACAAGGACTCATTGAGAGGTAGATGAGCACAAATGTACATTATGTGCAGCGTTAATGCGGTGTGACTTGCATCCTCACTTATGTTAAGTGTGTTAGTTGATATTTGCTCTGCCTAGATTGACCAGGGACTCTCCCAGCTTTAAGGATGAGTTGGATATAATGAAGTTCGTCTGTAAAGACTTCTGGACAAAAGTGTTCAGAAGACAAATTGACAACCTCAGAACCAACCACCAGGTAAAAAAAAAAAAAAAAGTGTTGAATGACAGCATGTGCTGGACTGGTGCCAAAAATACAACAAAAAATCTGAGGTACACCAGACTTTTGACTGTTTACAAACGTGATCTCAAATGTTGATGCTCATACAGGGGTTACTTGGTGTGTAGAGTGTTGAGAGGGTTGTTGCCCATCTACAACTATTTCTCCACTGATTTGCTTACTCATATTTACAGAACTAAGAAGAATCAAACACTCCTTACATCCACAATTGTTTGCTGATGCACTGTAGCATGTCTTAGCATGCTACCACAACCTGTAGATCAATTAGTTTGAAGTCACTGGCAGTAATGTCCTTCGCATCATGCATGTGCGCATCCCTGTGCACGCATCCACTGGAGATTTCCATAGGGTAACCTTTAAACCCACTTTAAATGATAGGAAACCTTGCTGGTAAATACTGAGCATGATCAGTGTTGGTTAAAATGTTATATTGTTTGTTACTATATGCTACTATACCTATCTTTGTTTTCCACCACAGGGTACCTATGTTCTGCAGGATAACAAGTTTGCTCTGCTGACTCAGCTTTCTAGTGGAAAGCAATACCTCGATCAGGCTCCTAAGGTCAGTGTACACTCTTTAACACACACAAGAACAGATGTTCCTACTGTTGTCATATGGAAACAAATCATAAATGGGCATTAAAAGGTTTTGTATTTTGGTTTTTAGCCAAAGAAATAAGAATCACTCTCACTGTAGCTAATTTGTGTGTGTGTTTTCTCAGTACCTGGCTTTTTCATGTGGTGTGGTGAGAGGAGCTTTGTCTAACCTTGGTCTGGACAGCGTGGTGACAGCTGAGGTCTCTGTCATGCCATCCTGTAAGTGCCACTAGAATAACAATCCATGATTTCGTTTATTATGGGAAATACTGAGCTGGCGCAACATGCTCATTGGCTACCAACCCGTTGTTACTCACATGAAGTGTCAAGTGTTGTGGGGTCAGGTAGCTCAAGGCATGTTTGTCATGTTGTATCCTTGAATAACATTTAATTATTTGACTTTGGGGGTGCATCTGTTAGGGTGAAAACACTGGTTCACCTTTCTTTCATTCTGTCTTACCAGGTAAGTTCCAGGTAGTAATCCAGAAGCTGTGACCTGATGCTCACTGGTGCCCTGGTGCTGACGACCAGGGCCCTATGGGGTTAATCCTAAAGAGAGGATGGTAGTTGCCATCCTCCCACTGAGCAGGCCAGCCACAGAGGGAATTGGACACCACTCTGATTTCCACAACAAGGTCAGACAGGACTAGCCAGGTTGTGCTGACAACAAGGAACCCCTGACAGTGCAGACGGTGACTCTGGTACAGAAAAAGATTTGTTTTATTCCTTTTGAATCTCCTTTTTGATGGTTTGTTTCCCATTTGAGCTAAAATGAGCATCATATTCTCAACTTTAATAAAAAAAAAAAAAAAAGTGGCACCTGGTCCTGACTGACCTGTCTTGGCTGAGCTTTGAAAAGAGATGCTGACTGTCAGAGCCTGTAAATTCCACATGTAAAGTAAATCACAAATGAATTGTAATGTGTTGCAATGTTGGTTCCTTGTTAAGAAATAATTGTAAATAAAAACATTAAAAAAAAAACAAGGCAGAATTTGGTTGATATTTCACTATTAACTGTCATCCAAATAATGGCTAGTGAGCCTGTAAAAACCATTACTGCTGACACATCAGATTCATTGTCCATTACTCATTTCTGCCCAAACACACAGAGAAGCTGTAACTTGCTGCTGGTGCGTTGCTTGGCCTTGCAGCAGATTGCCATTAGGAGCTGGGTTTTTCATGTATGCTGATAGTCATTTAAATCTGTTTATTTTAAGGCAGATGTGAATCTAGGATTTTCAGTTTAATTATGTTGTATTCAGAGACATGGTAATAGTTTGTGAGCTTGGCTATTCTACAAATGAAAGTGGAATGACAGCATCACTCTGTTACTGTGTTGATGTCACATTTCAGTGTTGACCATTTAAAATGGGATTTACAGGTTATCTTTTGTACCAAGATGTACAGTTTCATCATTTGTACAGCACTGATATGTATACATATAATAGACTATTAGGATTGTTTGTTTTTTTTTTTATATCCAGAAAAGTCTTTTTAAATGAGTCCTAAAACAGTGTGATCGTAAGTAGTATATGTGTTGTTTGTTTAATTTATTTTCTAAATGGAACACTTTGTCGACATGGAATAATAAAGTTGCAACAAGAACAAGGGAGGACAACACAATGAACATAAAGATACTGTAGCTTGGATGAATTCACCTCTCTGATAGATGTTCTTATCTCTGTGGGCCACTAGAGGGAGATGTAGAGCTGTCACCATTTTCATGATTTAACCATTTTAACACTTATGTCCAGAGTTTCCTTGCCTGTTCTACCTTGCACTCTCAAATCTATTGTCTTTCTGATGTCCTCCTAGTGTTAGTTTGGGAGAACAAAGAACTTATAGTTGAACAAACTTGGCTATGCAGTCATGGAAAAACACCACTTGTGTATTTGCACTGTTTTGTGTGACTAAAAAAATCTTGATATAACTATGTGATACTGCAAGATGTGTAGATACTTTTGCACATTCAGTTTAACTTTTGATGCTTTTAGAATATGATTAAGAATATAATGTAAAAAAATACATTTTAATAGCACAAGAAATTATGCCACGAGAGACAGGGAAGAAACCCAACCTTTAATATTTCACTGATTATATCGTATAATGACCTTTCTTAAGAATAGCAACATATGATCATACTTTGTATATAAAGGGATATCTTTGGTCTCTTCTTTAAACAGTATTAATACAGCTGTTTAGAAAGTTTTCCACCTAGACTGAAACAAAGGCCACCCTTCACAAACTCCACCACAAAAGCAAAACTGGCTGATATAAAATGGTGTGAGGAGAGAAAGAGAATAACTTCGACTGCATTTCTAGGTCCCAATCAGCCTGTGACAACCTAAAATGGCTTCTGTGGTGCTTGGCCATGCTTTTTTAACTTGAAGAAGGAAACCCTGGTAATGTCATCAGGGTTATAATGGCTTGGATTTGGACATTTTTAACAGAAAGCCTATATTGAAACCTGGCAGCATGCAGTTTGGGAGGGTCTGTAGTATAGGATCTACTGATTTGGGAGCATGACCTGTGCTTGGTACTTCAAGTTAGGATACCTCAGCTTCTGTGGCATAGGTTTTAAACATAAAAAAGAAGTCTAACTTGTACACGTCCCCCAACTTCATGGAAGTGCAATACTTCACTGAAGTACCCCTTTAATATATTCTTAATTTAACTTTGGGGTAGCACACAAACGCTCCTACAGTTAGGAGGCCCTCAAGACAAGAATACTTGAATGAGCTCCAAGAAAAAGAGTTCAAGAAAAGTCAAATAAGATGCCTAGTTACAAGTAGACTGCCACTCTGTCCCTGCTGATTGGCATGGTGCGTTGTAAGTGACAGCAAGATATGTGGTTTTTGGAATTTCTATTCTATCTGTAGGAACGCTGTGAAAGAAGAAAACAGCCGGGAAAATTGAGTTCGGCGCCTGCATAAATGTGCAGCACCTGAGTATAGCCCACTCTTTTACCCATTTGCTTCAACCCATTAAACACTTAACCCAAATCTTCTCTGGAAAGAAGAAAAAAATCAGGAGGGATTAGAGAGAAAGCCTAGGAGGGGGATGAATTGTAGAAAGTTGGTGGAGGAGGAGATTGAGAGAGTGGGCTAGAGGAAAATGAGATGGAGAGAATGAAGATTCTCTACAGGAGGCTGGAAGGAAATGAAAGGCAGAAAAGATTAGTTTATTACAGGTGGGGGGGAGGAGGAAGCAGTGTAGCAAAAGAGAACAACAAAGAGGGTGTGATAGTGAGCAGAGGAAATGAAGAGGGTGTGAGAAGTTTCTTCTACTTAAATGTCTCACACACAGTACAACGTCGGGGGATCTGGAGACCGGCTCGTGGAACAGTGAAATCAAAGGCTGATGAGCTGTTTTGTACCACTCTACGTGGCCTCACTCCCCTTCCTCCTGCTTTACCCTGTATCACAATGTCACCAATGCACTTACAAAGATAAAACCAGCATTCATTCTCTCAAACTGATGACTTGCTACAATTCAGTGACATTGTCCTGGTAGACCGGCTGAAGTCTTTTGTAGTGTGACAAATGGACAGAATACTGATCTGGGTTAGGTTTTCCTCACACAGCTCATCGAGTTCACTTTAGTTGTTAGCAGAAGCAAACTGAAATCACTGATCGCAATTTAAAATCATTGTTGACCCCTGACAGTTTGAAAGTAGCCATTAAATTAAAATCAAATACTAAATTGGGGTTGTTAGGTATTTTTAGTCAGATAGATGTTGGATAGATACTTTATGTATTAGAAATGTTTAGTGGAGATAGGATGTCTAGTTAGACTGTTAAATGCTTAGTCATGCTTATGAGTTTCTACAGGGTACATCTGGTCAAGGATAACTAGAGAGAAGAGTTGATGACTGTCAGCAGACAGGGTGTTTAATATTATTATTATGACGTGTATAACTGTAGCCTTAGCCATAATATGTTCTTATGTTTAAGACACGACATGTTACTAGAGGTCGTGTGAGAATGTTTTTAGCTACACACCACTTAATCAACAGACACACACACATTGAGGTTGACGTTTCTGTGTAGTATGGGGTTAGCCCAACCAAAGGGATATAATGTATAGGCCTGGTGGGTTCAGGGTCTTTCATCTTACATCTGGCTGCGTGCAGGTTGGAGGTGCAAGATACCTGAGCGTGTAATGTTAATTTTACCTGTGATCCTTTGAATAAATCAGCACTGTTTTGAAGTTACTTGGACTGTCTTGTCTCTCAGAGTTAGCAATGGTAATAAGAACCATATCCTGCAGGGTCCACCTGGGACCTTTCTGTGTGGAGTTTGCATGTTCTCCCTGTGCTTGTGTGGGTTCTCTCCGGGTACTCCGGCTTCCTCCCATAGTCCAAAGACATGCAGCTTAGGTTGATTGGGGTCTCTAGATTGCCCATAGGAGTGTGTGTGTGGTTGCTCGTCTATGTGTTAGCCCTGCGATGGATTGGCGACCTGTCCAGGGTGTACCCCGCCTTCGGCCGATTGCCGGCCGGGATTGGCTCCGGCCCCCCCTGTGACCTGCATGCAGGGACTAAGCGGTAGAAAATGAATGAATGAATGAATAAATTGGGGTTCATAGTAGTAGCTAGCAGGCCAGTAAGAATTGATATTTTGATGGTGTTTACAATCCAGTCTATGGTAATTATTTATAAAAGCTTTGACCAAACTTTAATATTTGACTATTATTGGCCAGTATTTATATACTTTCATACTTTTCTCCTCATTTATATCTCTTTGGTTTTTGTATTCCAAAATAAACTTTAGTGTAAGAACAAATTAAAGCACTGACTGGCTCAAAAGGTCCATCTTATTTTCCTCACAGCATCCAAACTAATATTCAGGCAACCTGCACCTCACAAGATGCAGCCCACTTTCATCCTCTCAGCATCATCATATCCTCCTTATCCCGCAACTTCTTTTTCACAGCTTTTTATTTTCCTGCCCATGCTGTTTCCTTCCTCCACTCATGCGTAGGTAAGAGTGAGGCTCTTTCTCTCTCACACACATACAAACACAAACTTTGTCTCTCTGGGCCATATGTCGACCTGTGGTGGACCTGAATACAGCCATCTGCCTGCCTTTCCTATGTCCCACGGTGCCAGAGTGTGGGAGAATGTCTATCAAACACAATACAGCGCACACACACACACACAAACCATACGACACACATGCTTTAACCCCTTCACGGCTACTAATCACTCCCAGACATCCACCCCATCTTGTGTTAACAGTGACAAGATAATAGTGGTTGTGTGAGTGTGTAGGATGAAGGGGAGATTCCTGCAGGGTCATCTATGAGTGTGTATGTTTATCCCTGTTCTCTATTTATTAATTTTTTTCTTTTGTTGTGGGACACTGCATGAAAAAGTGAGTCATTTGATGCAGATATTCCTCACTAGGGTTAGGGCCTGTTATGTTTATCTTATGAATGTTCCAGGCTATCAGAGATCAATAATAAATATAGTTTGTTCTTATAAGGATTAAGTTGTGGCTTACCCTGCCAATGAAGCTCCTGCCCCTCCACAATTAATAGTAGGTGAAACTATTACGCAGTTCAGAAAGGCGAGGGGATGTATGTAACTGAAGGAAAAGAGGAACAAAGCGAGGGAGGAGAGATGGAAGCAGTGAAGGCGAAGGGAAATGGGTCAGAGTCAGGATCGGTCAGATTAAACCCCAAACAAAAGACTTCTTATCTCCACATGAAATCTTAGCAGCACCAGTGTCCTGCCATCCTACACCACAGGGGTTGAGACAGGCATAACCTGCATTCAGAAAATGTTCATCAGCCTCTAACCTTATTGAATCCAACTCATTCCTTTTTTTTTTTATCCTTCAAGATGTCACTTTAGTCAGCAGTGGTCACCATAGAAGATGTTCTCAATTTACTCTCTCCTCCTGTTTTTATCCGGAAAATGCTAAAGCCTGGAAGTATAAAACCTTTTTGACTTTTATTTACTCAGAAAGCAATCAGCACAATCTTCAAGCAGGCTTGTTGTGTTACACTCCTGAATAAATTGTAATCCAATAAGTCAGGCTAAAGAAGTTTCTGAATGCTATTTATACTGGACTTTTCCACATTATTATTTATTGTCCAGTGAAAACCACTGATTGGTGGCTCTTCGGATAACATGAAAACTTAAAAAAAAGATTAAAATCTGCTATATAAACAATTATAAAACACCACAAAGATTTAAACAAGACTATTTCATAAAAAAAAACCTGACATTTCATAAATATATTTGGGTGTTTACACTGGACATCAGTTATTTTTCTGGACAACACACAACGTCAGCCTAATGACTCAGTCTACACCCTGCATTGTAGGACGTCAACCTCAGAGCGACAGGAATGAGTTGTTTTACTTCTGACACGATACAGACAGTTAACATGAACGAGGCCACTGGGGAAGTGTGATCTACAATGAAAACCATAAATTGACGGTTCACTGGTTTCCTGCTTCCTTCCTGTACCTTGCATCTACGTTGTCACATGTGGGAACAGTGTTGCAAACTTATAACAGAAGAAACTACTACTAGTGGTGGAAAGTAACTAAGTACATTTACTCAAGTACTGTACTTAAGTACAATTTGAGGTATCTGTACTTTGGGTATTTTCAGTTTGTTACTTCATACTTTGACTTGACTACATTTTAGAGGTAAATATTGCACTTTGTAACTCCACTACATTTATGCCCTTAGTTACTTTACATACCCAGATTAATACAAAAAAAACAAAACAGTACAAGACCTCACTGATTTGTGCTGGAAAATTCCCAAGCTACCCTACAGTAATTCAAATTAAATGCAAACAAGCTAGTTCAAACCAGCTGCAACATTAAATGTGATGTAAACATTAACTCAAATACAATAATATGATATACAGGAATGTGAACTGTGCCATTATGCATGAGTCAATTTAGTACTTTATTTTGATGCCAATACGTTTGTACTTCTTCTACTTAACATTTTTAAAGCTGTTGTACTGTTACTTTTACTTAAGTAAAGGATCTGGGTATTTCTTCCAGTACTGCCTACTACAGTTAGAAAGTTGACAAGCACACACCCAAATCTCATAACTCCCGCACTAGCAACTCCATACAAGGTGTCTTTGTAAAGAATAAACTAAAATCCTAAACAGGTGAATTTAAAAAAACCAAAACTTTATTTCCAATACAAAAAAGCAAAAGAAACCCAAATATATTAAACTTGATACAAGCATTAACAACTCAGTCATCTATAAATATGTTAAAATAAATTAAAGAAATTAATTTACTAAAGATCATCGCCTTTAACACTAAATACGTTGATGAAAAGGTAAATTTAAATAGACCAGTAACAGCATGGCGTCTGTTCTCCTAACCAACTACATACAAAACAGGAGAGTAACATCTCTAAAACACTAAGCATACTTAACCTTAGCCTACAGTGTGCTGCCTCTAGCTCAGTAAGGAAACGAACCTGGGAGCACACTACTAGTAGAGGTGACCAGGAAGCTACACATTCTCAATAGTAAGAATTAATACTGAATGACAGAGATTGAACAATGTGGGGTGAGAGCCATGAAAACGAATATGCATCAAAAGATAACAGCAGTGCTTCCGGCAGGTGAGGGAGGACGAATATCCCACACTCCTGGGAATGAGCACCATGTGTTTTAGGAAACATGGCCTCACAAAAAAACAAAAAACAAAAAAACAACTGGACTCTCAGGAGGTATTCACTAGACTTCCTTAAACTTTACTTCTGAGCCAAGTGCACTGCAACTCAAGCTGTGCTCAACTCATGTTAAATTACACAGCAAGATGCAAAATGTGGCCTCATTTATGTTTTTGTCCATCATCGACCCGGTCTAGGTCTATTTTTTGCAGTTACTTCCATGTCGTTTCTCCAGTTACCAAGTCACAGAGTTAACAATGTCAATAACATGAGATTTGAAAACATATGATAAAGCCCACTTGGCTTTTACTGGAGACAGTTTCTCATTAATGCAACAAGAGAACATTAGTAGTAGTTTTAACAGTGAGACCTGAACATACAGTAGCTTAACATGACTAAAAAAAAAAAAAGACTCACACCCCTCCTTGTCCCACTAACAGCCTAGCAAATTTTAGTTCAACGCTGTAACATGACCTGTTAACGCTACAGGCACTTACGCGGTTTAAAAATGTAACATTCAGGTTCAAGGCCAGTGATCTAAACATAACCTCAGACTGTAGTTATGAGAAAAACAATTTCACCAGCTTATAAAACACAATACCGTGTACTGTTAACGGAAATGCAACAACTCCTAAATATAGGTCACATTGTTCATTTATCCCACCATAATCAAAACACACATCTTTGGCTTTATCACATTCTTTACATTGCTCAGGAGAAGCTGATAAAGGAACAGTGAACGGCTCGAGTCAAGCTGCCAATTACACTGATTACAATCATCTTTTTTGCCCTGTCAGAAAACCATTTTGATAAAGCATCAAATGATTCCAGCACAGTTAAACTCCTATCTTGATATATATACCTTTTTGGTGGTGACACTTTTATTTTTACCATCACTGTGGCTTCCCTTACACACATGACGGTCACATTTTAACACCACAAATCTGATAAGATAACCTCTGAGTGTTCTGAGTCAGTCCCTTCTTTATTTTGATGTCACACAGATGCACAAAATATTTGAGGTGTCGGTCCAGTGCCTGTCCATGAGGGGGGAAGTGTCTAGATGTCTAGTGTATGAGCATTATGTGTGCTTGATATGCGAACGCTGCTGTGCAGCCTAAAGGCAGATCCCAGTAGCATCCTCAGGAACAGAGAGCTGACTGAACACTGCCAGGCGTTTGCCGTTTCCTTCATTACTGCCAACACATGATTCAGAGCCACTGAGTGAGCTAGTGGAGCTGCTTCCATCCTGGTCCTGGTCTGACAGAGAGGTGTAAGATAGGGAACGGGCACCCAGAGGCCCTGAAAAGACTCCAGCAGCGCAGGGACTCTGCCTCAGGGAGGCAGTCGGGGACAGCCCACATGGAGAGCAGCCAGAGTCTGGGGAAGGCAAGAATGGAGAGCGTGGATCTGTTGAAGTTACCTGGCCCACAGGAGGTTGGTACTGGTGAGCAGGGGAGGCCTCAAAGGCAGAGTCCATCTCTTGGAAGGCATGAGAGAGGAGGTCAGTAATGTCTGGGCTGGAAGGAGGAGAGGCCAAGGGAGCACATGTGAAAGAGGGAGTGGAAGGAGGAGGTGGATGAGCAGTAAAAGCGGGTTGGAGGATTTGCTGGGGAGCAGACGGAAACCCAGCAAAACTAAAGCTCTGTCTCATAAGAGGAGGTCTGTGTGAGCGGGAGGCAGCAGGTGGCTGTGGTGGAATGCTTGAGGCGAGGGACGAGGAACGACAGAAGGAATGTTTCTTTTCTTCCTCACTGTTGTGGACAAAGTGATGGTGTGAAAAGTACGACACGGCTCAGTTTTGTATTTCGGATGTCTGTTAAGATCCCGTAGCTCCTCTGGCCCGTGGGCAAACTGGCATTTCCCACCATACTTGCACAAGCCATTCTCAGTGAAAGATCGACATAGTTCAGTCTTATAGCGTGATGAGGAAGAGGAGGTGGACGAAGAAGAGCTAGTGTTCAGTGTAGTGGGGGTGATGTCACTTAGGGAGTGCTTTATATCAGTCATAGGCCAGCCTAGACTTGTTGCTGTGGTGCTGCTGGTCTCTACCATGCTGATGGAGCGCTGGGCAAGGAAGCCTGACTTTCCCCAGTGGGAGGGTTTAGCCAGCTGGCAGAGCAGCGGGCTTTCTGACTGCTGCCCCCATGGACTGGAAGTCAGAAACACACTGTCTGAAGGATCAGTGGGGAGGCATGAGAGAGACGAGAAGGAAAAAGATGTATTGCCACGTGGCTGACCAATGTAGCCTGGTGTTCTCATCGCCAGATTGAGAGATGACAGCGGTCTGTTTGGCTCCCTCAGGTCGAGATTCAGTAACTGCTGTATAAGGAAAAGACATAACATTGGACCTTAAGACCATGCATTTTTTCATTAACCTTTGTTTTTTTTTCTTTTTTTTAATCTCCACAGCATGTTCTTTACCCAGTGACTGTAAAAAATGTTTTCAATGCAGTCAGAAATGACTGAACACTTAATGCACTGATGTGCTATGGAGCAACACTTGGAGGCCAGGATGCAACTGTGTTCAGTTTCCACAGTTAAGTTAGTCCAAGTCTGGCAAATACAAAATACTGTAGAGAGGTAGTTAAACCCCTGATGTGCTTAACTACAGATCAGTTATCTGCCAACTAGCAACAGCAGCAATGCTGAACTGAAATTATAATGAAGTGGCTGCCATTTGAGAATCTGCAATGTGATCTATGCCCCATAGTTGTTATTCTGTTCAGACGTACTAGACTGAACTATTAATGATCTCTTTAAGCCCAAATTAACAAGAGGTTTAAGAAAAAAAGTTCTGCTAATCTGCATCTTTTCTGGTGGTGAGGCAGGATACAGGATGCGGCAGCAGCACCCTGCAGACTGTCCTTGTAGTAAAGTTGCAATGAGATTATAGTAAACACTCTAATCTAAAGAGTATTACACAGCGTGCTGCTACTTACTAGCACCCAGTGAGATAAACACCACTCCATGGTATCAACACACCTTAAACACCATAACTGATGACTTCTAGTTGTTTCAAGCATTAAAAGTTGGTGTTTTGATTCAACTTGTTGGTATTGCACACCGTCAATATGCCACCAACTTGATTTGAAAGAACCCGTCGTGATAAAGCACTAATTATTTATGGCTAAACCCCAAAGTTAGTTAGCTTAACTCGGTTACTAAAGTGAGACAGTTTAATGGGCTAATGGTGTTATGGTGAATCCTAACACCAACTTCAACAACGTTCCTATTTTGTGACAAGTAAGCTGTGACTCCAGACTAAGTTTAAGAGCACATAAAATTGTACACCAATAAATCCACTAACTGTTAGTTGACAATAAAAAAAACCCACGAACTTTTCAGTTAACTTAAAAAGACACGAGAACATGAAGAGAGCAACAACGTGAAGTTAGCAGCGCAGCTAGCTAGCTAGCTAGCACGACCCCCACCCCTCCGACCAGCAAACTTTCGCTCCACTCTGCTACTCAACTTTCTTCACGCTCTTTGTTTACCTTGCACATCATCTCCTCCAGGTCAGCGAATTGGTTGAGAGGATAAGATGGCATTTTACTGAGTATGCAAAACTTTAGTCCAATCCCGTCTGCCCCCGCAGAGATACTCGTGGGCAAGTCGCTGGCATGAGTTTCAGAAGTTTCTAGCTGCGTATGTGGTGCGAAACAAGCCCGACACCCAGACCACGCGTGAATTTAAAACCTGCTGCTAGCCACTCCCACGAGGCAGCCCGAAGTTGTTTTCACCAGCACTACCCGCATGGGTTAAAAGTACCTCTATTTAACCATACTTTATCCCTTAAACACAGATAACATTATGATCCCAGTTACTGCATGGCAGCCTAAGTGAATAAATGAATGAAAGGTAATGGCAAATTAACTTAGCAAACACAGACCATGGTTTTTCTTAGATATATCACTATAGAGGAATATCATAATAGGGATTTTTATTTTGGATTTGCTGAAAAATAACCATAAACCGTGTTCCATAAGGATTTTGCCTTGATATCACTGGTTTAGTCTCATCTCATATTAATGTGTATGCAGATGGAGTAATATCATTATTGCTATCAAATAATCAGGACTAAAGCAATTTGCACTTTTAGCCATAAATAGTGTCTCATAATTGTGTCTTCTGGCACATGATCATAAAGTTCTTACCTTAAAAATGCTTTTGTCAAATGATTTTAGGTCAGATAATGGCTATATAAACTCACATGGCCCTGCTAAAACAAGTTTAAGTTACAAAGCAGAAAGAGTCACAAGAAACAGGAAGCAGACAAATACCTGCAAGAAAAGGCAACCAAAAGGTCTAATAAAGGAAGACAGCTAGAAGATGGGAGGACTGAACATGTGGGTGGAAAATGCAGTATGGAGACAGCCTAGCACTATGAGCTAGACAAGGAGGAGCGAAGTGTTTGATTTGTGTAGATGTGTGAAAATTTCCACTGCAGAGCTGATACCTGACAGTCCCCCCACACAAAACATATGTGCAAATACAGGTTGGTCCCTCTATTTTTGGTAAGATGGAAAATGTCAAAGTAAAAATGTATTTCCCTAAATTCACCAAAGACCTTTGACTAATCAGAACCCAACTTATAACCCTAAACCAAAATGCACTGACAATAAAGGCCTCATTTTCCCGGCATCACTGGTAAAGATATTTGGTCCATAAAATGATAGAACTTCAAGAGCACACAAAGGTCTACGAGGAGTGAAGCTGTCACATCTCTGGGACTGTAGGAAGATTGTGACAGCATGCACACTAGCCTGACAAATTGGCAAACATTTGGCCGCAACTACAGGAAAAAAAAGCAGCTTTCACTTTGTTCTTTACAGCTTACTGGTTTTAAAGACCAGAAACCTGAATGGATGAGTACAAGGCGTTAGAATTAAAGCAATAATTGCACACTCTTGAGCTGATTTCTGATTTTTTTTTCATGATCTAAAACCCTACTGAAATGCATTAAAGTTTATAAAGAGAGTAATGCTGCGGATGTGCAGCCCGTGTGTTTAAAATGCTCAGCCCCCACACTGAGAAAAAGTCTGAAGGTCTTGAAAAAAGCTCGTCCCTTTTAAAAAGATGAGTTCAGCTGAGAACAAAGCCTGCCGAAAAGCTTTGTTTAGGTCCAGCCAAGTGGTCATTAAGTGTGTGTTTGTGTGTGTATACATGCCTGTGCGTGCTTGACAACCTCCCAACCCCCAGGACTGTGATGATGTAATAGTATAAGTTCTCTCTACTACTCTACAACCTGATAGTTGTCCCAGTTAGCTGTGGTTTGACTTGGGTGATTTGTATGTGAAGATGAAATTGTCTCTTCACATGTGTAGTTGCCCATCAGTCAAGACTGGTGTTGTTAAAATATGACTCATGGGTCATAAGCTCTGATGTTATGACTCATAACACTTTTGTTTTTGTTGTTGTTCTCCTTTTACTTTCAAAATTGCCACAAAGATGTTCCTATTGAAAATGTCCATTCTAATGTTCTAAAGGAAAGTTGCTGTATCATTCTGCTATATCACATTGCATTGAGATCCAATTAAGATGGACTGCAGTGCTCACCTATAGCTTCAGAATGCATCCCACATGCATCTGGAATGACCTTTTGAAATCGGATTTCACTTCCTCGCTCACATTTTCTCTCACTGTTAGGAAACCGACCACATCTGAATTAAAAAAAAAGACACATTGAGTGTTGCTATGGTTACTTCTTGTCTACTGTGCATTACAAATAAAAGAAGGTACATTCATGCTGTATAGGTAAACAATTTAGTTTTAGATTGTGCACACACTGAAAAGTTGGCTACGCTCTTCTTCAGTGCGGTCAAGAATGCTTTTGCGCTCCAACTGCATGTGGCTCAGTTGGAAAGTATTTTTAGGGCATTTTGCCTTCAAATTTCCAAACCATCTACAAATATGATATGAGGATCCCAGTGTACATTCTGACTGTGTTCACTCTTACATTTAAAGCTGCTCACTTCTAATCATTTGGTCCAATGTGTGTTTAATGCCAACAGTGAACAAGGCCTATTTACACTGTGACTGACCTTTGAGTGCTAACCCAGACATCAGACAGTGCCCTAATTAGTTCTCCATCTTGAGGGATTGGCTCTGTGCGTTTGTTTTTTACCCCAAGATGAAGACCACCATGGTGATCAACAAGCCATTAGCAAGATGTCAACAGCATGAGTGCCATGAGGTATAAGCAGACCCTTTGGTTAATTTGGTTATGTAAATAAATGTTATCTATAAACAAGCTATCTGGTTGGCCAGTTGAGTTTCTTCTGGGTGAGTTGGGGATTAGTGAGAGTGGGGTTTGAAGGAAAAGGGGGAGGGGAGAGGGGAGGAGGGAGGAGAGAGGTTTGAAAGAGAGTTCTTACTTCTTGATGAGTCCAGCTGGGCTAGTGGGCTTTTGAAGAACAATGAGCTCTATGAGCTGCAGAACCAACTAACAAACTAATGGCCTGCCCTCCATGACTCTATACCCCCTCCAAACACACACACACACACGTTGTGTTTCCACCATTTCAGGGAACATTACATTGACTTCCGTTCATTTCTGGGAGACGTTCCCTTGCTTTGTGTCCCCATAAGGATGTGGAGTTCCCACAGTGTGACTGTGTAAACAGATTTACGTCCCCACACATGACTATAACAGGCCACACACACACACACACACACACACACACACACACACTATGGAAATAACAGGGTGATGAAGGAAAGAGCTGGGGGTGAGGGAGAGGGACCAAGGGCCAGGATTGTGGGCTATTTAAAAAAAAAAAAACAGGGAAAATGAGATGGAGAAAAAGAGGAAGGTACTGAAGGTGGGGGATCAGAGGCAAGAGATGGTTTGCAAGACTGGCTTCATACAGAAAAATGTTTATCTACAAATGTGGGTTTAATCAACCAGATACATAAAGATGTGTCCTGGAACACATTAATTTGCTTTGTCACATAATCACCTTGCAGTGAAATAGTTAGTCAAGTCATTAGGTAAGGATTTGCTGGTTCAATGTCGGTTTGATTAGAGGAAGACTGACAGAGTTGACATTACACTGTGAGGTTCGAATGACTGTAGGGCGCCACTGTTGAACAGCTTATCTGACAAGATGTTTTTGAAGAAATGGGATGAAACACTGAAGTAGTTCACGTATTCTTAGAAATATTTTACAGAACTCTTGATGAATGAATACTGGAACATGTTTCCATTAACAGGAAGAATGTGTAGCTGGTTAATCTGTAAAAACATCATCACCAGTGCGTGAGTGGGAATCTGTAGACAAGTTACAAAGTAAACCAGTTGTATTATAGCATCATTTGTTGTGTGTGTTTGTCTTAGAGAGTGACACATGCACACACACTTGCACACTCAACCTATTGAAACTGCTATGATTAAGTGAAGTCATTCCTCTACAGCCTCACACTGGCTTCTTCAGATAAGAGGCTGCAGTGAAGTAATGAAGAGACGGGAGGAGAGGTCTGTAGGCCTGATGAACATCTGCTCCTTCATTCATCCCTTTTCTTCTACCCCCTCCTCATCATCTTCCTTCTTTCATAATGTACCCCCTGCCCTTTTCTCACGTGCTTTGTGTGTGTGTGTGTGTGTGTGTGTGCATGTGTGTGCATTTATGCATGTTGGTGCTTACAGAGAGCCTTTGGGATTCACAGAGAGAGTTTGGGAATCTGGAAGAGTGTCCCTGACCATGAAATTTTGGAAAATTAAAGCTATTATCCTCAGTCTAAGTATCATTTCATGTCATCAAATGCAAGCTTGTTGTTTGTCATTGATATGAACAAGCAGTGTTATCCTGCAAAGCTTGGCATGACTGAAAGGACAGCATAGACAAACAAAGGTAAAGCAGTTAAATGATGTGATACATATATTATGATTTTAACATGAAGACATGACTGTTAACTGATGAATAAACATGACAACCAGAGTAACAGCATTGGAATGTTCATTTATGCATACATGTATAACAACAATGACTGTCTCATGGTTCAGTTTTATGCACACACACACAAACACACAAACACACATGCACAGACATCCAGAAATGCCGCACAGTTAGGGTTCTGCTCACAGGGTAAAGGTCATAACCTAACCTTTGACCTCTAACTTCACGCACCCTCTTTCTCCTCCTCTCCTGTCCACTGGAAGTCATTCCTGTGGATTCAATTAGAAGGGTAGAGAGAAGGAGAGCAGAAGAGATGGATAAAGAACGTGCAAAAACAAGAAAAGTGTGACATATGTCTGCAGAAAGACTAGCGTGGAAAATGAGAAATATTAAGGGTGGGGGGCATGGAAGAGAGTTAAGAATTTTGTTCAGTGATCTCATTTGTTCTGTAGAAATATAAAAGCAGTCAGCAGTTTGTGTTTGGTTGGACATCTTGGTTCCCACAACAGACATTATGAGGCATGCTATATATGGTAATTATAATCTTGCATTGTCTTGACTAGCTTTGATATTTTATTTTGTTTCCCGCTTTGGGAAGGTCTATTTTCTGTTTCAACATGATAAATATCCCTGTTCACAAAGCCAGGTCCACCAAGAAATCTTATTTTGTTTTTGAGTTTGGTGTGGAAGAACATCTTTGGGGTGAGCTGGGACACTGTGAGGCAGGCCCTGTTGCCCAACAACAGAGCCATTACTGAAAATGAAGGCTGTTATAGTAGCAAACCAATACCTACAGCTTGGGAATGAGATGCTCAACACTCCATACTTTGTTTGGGTG